TAAAATTTTTTAAATAGCTTTCGACGAGCTTGCACCCATTACCACGTCCATTTGCTATCTCGCTCGTTAAAAAAAAAAAAAAAAAAATTACATTCTGGAGTGTGGTCGGGCAAGCAGTTAGAAGCTGGAGCACAAAGGGATTTCATGTACAGACTCTCGCGTATATGCCGGTGACAATAAGCCCGTACGCGCGAGAACGGGAATAGAAAGAGGGATGAGGGCGAGGATGAGATCCGCGTTCGTGGCATAAAATCCAATATCAAACCCTCATCCGGGATAATTAAATTCGATTGGTTAAGGCTCTCTCTTGGAGCATCGGCGCAATCGATTTACCCGAGGCTGCACGGCTTTATCAATCACAGCTTCGCGCTTTCTCGGTGTAAGAGGACTCGCGTGGATGTAGCGAACGAACGAGAGCAGGAGAGAGCGGAGTTACAAAAAAAATGAAGAGCGAAATGCTACAGTACGCGCAAAAATTTAATACCCGGCGTATTGACTAAATCTCAGCCGTTGAAGGTCTCTTGGCTTCAGCTTTCGGTCCTTTTGTTTATTTTATTTTATTTTTTTATGTATTTATTTTTTTTTTTATTCAATTTACTTTTTTCATTTCGTACACACAAGTGCAAGAAGAGCAGCTTCATTTTCGGCGGAAAAGCCTCTAGAATTATTATTTGCGTGAATAGATGCCACTGTAAGCGTATATTTATGTATTATGCTGCGAAAGTTCAGAGGACGAGAAAAGACCTATATAATGAAATATTTTTTGTACTTAGGTCAACGTTTTTGTCATGTAAATGTGAACTGAAAGTCCCATTGAATCTTATAAATGAAGGGATTATTTGAAAAATTTAATGAGCATGGCTTTTGATTTTTGTCATAAAAGCTCTGTGGGCGCGTGTAATAATAAGCAGAATTCATTTTCATCGATCATTTTCCAATCATATTCTGTATACACATTAAAATGAGAGTTAATTATTATTTTTCTTTTTTTTCTCTCCGTACAAAGATGGGCAATGTACTTCAAATATTGAAGTACAAAATCCAATGAGTTTTTTGTTCATTTTTTTAAGAACCGAATTCATAATTGTGACAATACAATGTAATAAAATAATGCGTCAAATAAACAAACATTGTAAGGCAGCAGCTAACGAGCCTACAATATATGTAATTGCGTTAAATTAATAGAGTATGAAAGGAGAGTACTTCGATTTTGACGGGCGCGCTTTGCCAAGTATACTCGAACCTGCGGGCAATTATACCAACAGGTTGGGCCCCAAATAAAACGAGAGCTCAATATAAAACGAGTGCAGAGTGCAAGTGCGCGAAGAAGGGCTTCGGGGAACTTTACGCGTAATTGAGCTCGTAGAGTACAGGCGCCAGGTACACCGCCCCAATATCGTTTCGCTCAAATGCTACGCGCTACCAATATTCTATAATATCTACATCGTTAGCAAATGAAGAGCTAATAATATAGGTGGGCGCAGAGGGTGAGGAGGGTGGTCTCATTTTTCTGTAATCTTTCTTCCTCACGATTTCATTCAGTTAAATATCATTTTTTGCCACGGTGAGTCACCATATGCGGTTCTTGGTTCGCTTTGTTATACATACATTTTTATGCAGTTTTTCCTACGTCGCACTCACTTTGCAAATCTTTACAAATAGCACAGTACACGGACGTTTGTCTCTTGATGCTTTTATGTAACTATTTTCGCTGATGAAATTATTGAATCCAGCAAAACAGCCGCAGTTGTTCGTATACTTATGGTATCATGGATTTGATTACTTTTGTCAATAGTTTATCACTGTATCCTTACTCGAGCTCAAGCCTTCACCAGCCCTGACACAAGGAATTAACAAATTTCTAGTACCTGTTAAAAAATATTCAATGGTGCAGCAGTACGGCGGACACCACATAAAAAAAGAATGGTTTCCGAGAATGTATGGCAAGCTATTATCATGGCTAAAACAACACCAACGTATAAACGGAACACATCATACTTAACACCATAAGCCCCATCGATCTACAGTTATACATTGAGACGTATACCTTATACGGTATACTGTCCATACTCGGCCACAAAGGGATACCTTTCATGGTTGAACGCCACAGCTGAGGGATGGGGGAAAAAGGGTTAAGAAAGATAACTTATTATTCAAACCAAGCGATAGGTACTCCTGGCCCGACTGTGTACGTATAGGTATATATTACCTATACGTCATGGCGCTCTTACCCTTCCGCATATTATACTGTATACACACTATACCTCGCAAGTTTATGAATTTTATATGTAGGTATACGTTCTTGACTTGTATATTTTATGCTGGTATCAGTATATTATACATATATGTATATAATTGTGCTCGTCGTACCCCATGGTTATACGGTTCGTCGCTTGCTTTGTTCTTATCGGCTTTTATGTCTATTGTTCATGCTCCTATATCAAATTTATGGCTGCTCTATTTTAAAATTAATTCACGAAAAGTCGCCAACAAATGAATCGAAACGATATCATATATACTCTCACAAGGGAATTTCGAGTTGACAGAAATCCAATTATATTCATCATTGTATTCTCATTATATACTTGGTCATTCTAATGACAAGCGGACGGATGTTATAATGTTTTGAATATGAAAATTATAATTGACTCGTCTGTAGCTGTTGAACGAAATTAAATTGATCCGAAGGAAAAGTAGAAAAGTATGTAGAAAAGAAACAAGGTTTTATAAATTACGTTAACTTTATTGCAAGAGTACAAAATGAGGCTCCAAAAATTACTTGCATGTTTTTTTAATAATTCACATGCAAATGAAGCTTCATCCTGAGTGGAAAAAATTTAAGTATTTTATCTTTGCATAAAGTATAAAAAATTTTTCGAGAAATTTATATTATTTTCCCGCAGTGGTGAATAAAAAATTAATTCATCCATTAGTAGAAAAAAAATTTTTTAAATAATTTTTTCAATATCCGAGAACTTGCTCTTGTATACTATACTCTACCATCATAATAACCTTTAAATATCGCTGTTTGCATATCAAGCCCAAAGCTCGATTTTCAGATTCATAAAGTACACGTGGATATTATATAAATTGCGGATAAACAAATATACGTAGCGAGTGCACACAGGGATCAAAAATTTCATTCAACTTGAGAATTTCCTCACGTAAATTTTTGAATTTCCATTTTCGCATATTACTCGACCTATATACACTATGTGCACATGCATCTCGTTGTGCGGCTCATTCCCGCGCTTCAATATGCGTACACATACGCGTGATGTAACGCGGACTTGTAGTAAGATTAACCATCACCAACAAAACCGTGGAAACTAAAAATCGTGTAGATAGGTATCTACAAAAAGAAACGAAAAACGATTTTTTTTTTTTTTTGCATTCGAAGTTGGGGTTACAGTCAATGATGATACTATCGCGATACCAGTTGTACGCCAACACATGTATTATATATAAACTCAGCGAGGCCTAAAGCTCGACAAAAAAAAGCGTAAGTGCCATTAAAAATAGCATTGCACTTGGGCGTGGTTTTTTTGTGTCCCCAAGCAATAGCGGTATATATACATGCACACACGTAAGAACGCAATGACGTAGAAATCCAAATTTATCGTCCCGAATGACTTTCCTCTCCTATATCCATGGCTATAGCCGAGTATAGCCTCCACAGCCGGCTCGTAAGCTCGCTTGGGCTCAACGCAAGCTCTCTCTCTCCACACGTACACCGAAGCATCAGTAATAGCGCACACCCACGCAGCCAAAGTTTCTCATGTATACGAGATGAGCAAGGGAGAAGGAGCGAGGGTAAATGATAGGGGAAAGTGTAGAGGCGACAGGTGTGGAGCGGCGGTGGTAAAAATACAGAGACACACACACGCGCGCTGGCGTTTGCCACCACCCAAGCCCAGCAAAGTGTATTATGCCCTCCTTCTCCACCACCACCAGCGCGTGTCGAGAGCACCAGGCGCGCGCAGCCGCTCCTCCGTCTTTCCTGTACCTCCACCCTCGGCATGGCGCTGCCACTAAACTCGTGCGAGTGGGTATATAGCTGATGGCTCCGTAGGTATAACACACCACATCCGCGGCTAGTCTTGGTCGGGTGCCCGCTCCGCCCGGTCGTGTCCTCCTCGTCCGCGTCCACGAGGCTCTCCGTCGGAAATAACACCGAACGCGCCGCGTGATCAACTACAAGTCGGTTGGCTCGCGCGACAACTTGCGGATGGTACATCCTCGAATGTGTCGTCCGCGTTAAAACGTTGGGTCAGTATATACAGTGTCCTCGAAGGACCGAGTTCTCGCCCGATACGATGCTACGTCACACGAGTGTTTGTCATCCGGTTGAATCGACACAGTGACATTATTGATCCAGGTGTGATTGCCGACAGTGGTCCACTATACGCGGGTACGGCCCAACGGCAATTTCGGGGTCGGGAGGTCGTGTAGAGCACGGGTCACGCACCAGCTCTCGTACTACTACCTGCCCGATCTTTATTTTTCCATGTCTCTCGCAAGTATATTATACTCGAGGAGCCAGTGCCCATGTCGTGTACACATCGGTAGTGCGGTCAATTTACCGATCGATCCACTCCTCGATAAGCATATAATTATGTTGTGCCTATTCCAAATAGCACATTTTAATCCTTTGGTTTATCGCTCCGCGGTCGTTGATTGTTTTTCGCGCTCGTAGATTGATCGAAGGGTGGCCTCTGTGCATACCTGCATACACATAGATTGTAGTACACGTTTATCGTAAACCACGTACGCATGCATATCGGGCCCGGTTGTGTGATCCGCGAGTTGATGCAGCTGCATCGGTTGTTTTTGTTGTTGTTGTTGTTGTTGTTGTTGTTGTTTTTGTTGATGATGTTGTTGTTGGTGTTGTCGTGATCGTTGAGCTGTAAGTGTTCAACGCAAGGGGTGAAGGATAATAGTAACAAGTGGAGGGACAAGGGAGAAGATAGACATGGCCGAGAAGTGGAGGAGGAAAAACAGGGCGGTAGCACTGGGGCTTCCTGGGCTGTGTGCGTTGCTGATGCCGTTGCTCCTTTGCGACCCAGTCGAAGGTGAGTGACACCGGTTCCCGGCTATACATACATATCAACCCCGTACGTGTACACCTTATACCCACCTGCTCACTTATTTACACACCCTTTATACGTGTCCCATGACGTACGACACGCGCCTTCGACGGGGTTGAGGGTTATTTAACATGTATCGGTATAATATGCCCTCTCGTACTCGAAACTGAAACAATGTTGCGTGAAAATCCCATGGCATCGTGTTTGAGGTAAACAGAGTAGAAAGTCTGAGAGAAATCCTGATGGCTATACGTTATAAATGAACGATCGAGGACTCCCGTTTTGTTATTTTCGTTCACAGAGAGCAGCATTGATCGATTCACGCGATCGGGATGACAACGACGGGGTCTCGCAGCTTTCATGGGTACAACATATGTACACCGAGTGCAATGTTTATATATTCATGATGCATGTGCACGTGAATTCAGCACGAGTACACGGGTCGTATCGATTATCGCTGTACGAGCAAATTATTCCACCCGATCGCATCCTTTTCATACAATTGAGATAACATGTAAATGTAATACGCTAATTTAGGTACACGAGTTTTACGATAATTGAATGCGTCATGGATACCGCGATGTGAGAGTACCTGCCCAAATTATTTGATGGAGAACTAATTTTTATGGTATCACTTATCGAGTACTTTTATACAAGCTTATGTGCACGTGATACCGTTAAACAGTGTTATCGGTACCTTTACGAAGTAACCGAAGCGTGGGTTCTCATGCGCTTAACTCAGTCTGTGGAAAAAAAAAGAGCTGACTTTCGCCTTCGTGCTCGTCCAGCGTGATAGACCAACTGTATGCACTCAGTGGTCTGCAATACACGATTGTGCTACTATACGACACTTTGAATTGATAATCGCTTAATTTCGACACTTGTTTACTTCGTTGAAAATTTCGTTCATTTTGGAGCACGTAAACACATTTTTTTTTTTCTCCAAACGGATATGAATAGCTTTGAAACAGAAAAGGTGATTGACGGTATTTTTGTTTCTCCCAGTCGTAGTTTTCTGTGTACAGAAAGCAAGAGATCGATTTCGAGTTTTTTTCGTACAACCTTTTTGAAATCGAATTTGAAATTCAGTTTTCATGTAAGCTTCATAGCAACAGACTCACTTTATCGTTTATTTTATCAATTTACTTGATATTTCCAATACAAAATTACGATAAAATTACTGAAACATACACTAAATTGTTTTAAAAAAATGCTTGAATAGGATACGATAGTATCACAATGTTCAAAAAAGTGTAATCACCTTAATAAACAGTAGTATCAAAAGGAAAAAAGGATGTAGCCCTGTGTTCACGTGGACAACGTGAGGCCTCACAAATAAAATTATTCCATTTTTTCACAAGTCACCGTCCAATATCGAAGTCAATAAATATGCCATTACTAACGAAGATTTCATAAAAATGTCAAAAGCGAAAAAGCTTTTAATCATAGAAATATTTTAAAACAAACGAAAGCACTCGACAACATCTGAGTGCATCCCACAGTTAACTGTACCACCACTCACTTAACTGTCGAATTGGGGGAAAAAAAAATCGTAAAAAATCACCGCATGCCCAGCGACGTGTATAACGAATCTTATGGGAAAAATTAACGAAACATCGTGCGCGGAAAAGGATCAAAAGAAAATACAAGTGCGTGGGTAGAATATACAAAAAAGAGCAGAAAAAAAGCAGTTGGAGCGAGAGCTACAGCGAATGGTGGCTTGCCATGTACAATGGGCTAATCTGATGTTATTTGTTCCCCACGCCTGATGCGTATACACGTACTGTCTAACAACCGAGCTCCCACTGCACATTCTTTTTGTCAGAATATCCTAGTTGTCTCGTGTTTACGTATATGTATATATACATGGGCACTTGCCTCTCAGCCGCAAAGTTAGCTCGTACCTCCACCTGCTCTCACCTGTGTTATCTATATGTGTACATAAAAACGTGACCTCTTTCTCTTTCCCTCTCGAAGGAGCAGCGCGACGCACTTCCGTGCGCCTCTAATGCCCTATGAATTGAATTACCGGTTTACCCTCCGTCCTCATTTTTTTTTTTTTTTTTTTTTTCCACGTGCACGCATGTGTGGTGCGCATTTTTTAGGGCTCACCCCGAGCAGCGCTAATTGAGACGAGCGCGTGTTTATGCAGCCAAGGGAGAAGGCGAGGGCATGGGAAAGACGAGAAGACGTACCGTCACGGCGCGCTGCTCCCACTTCCGCTCTCCTGTGAACGGCTGACGCTGCGTTGCGTATATATACTTTAATACCCCAAGACACCGGCAACAGCCGCTCCGCGTCCTCGCTCGCTCCTTCTACCACCGTGCGCGTACTTATACGAATTTTCACTGGATCCATAAGCTTTTGTCCAACCAACGAGTGCCTATTATACACTACCCAATTTGTGAACTAACGATACTGAAAACATTGCAAACTTTGTCCTCTTTGGGGTGTGACAGATTTTTTATTTCGCGATATCATAATGTGCTCTCGTCGGGGGGTTCATCATTGTTGGAGTGGATTGCACGAGCAATTCATATTCGCTTCGGGTGGGGTTCCGGGATATTTATTTTCGCTCGGTTGCGCATTGATTTTGCGAAATGAAATTTTCAGCAAACAAATTTATCGAGCTTTACCGGAGTTAATGCGCACATCCCGGAGTCATAAAATATACCTACCCAGTTTAGCTTTCGCCGTTTGGTTTATCATTGCATCGAGTGTTTTTCCTCCCTCTCCCCAGCGGGTAAAATGGATACTGAATGGGAATGAAATTTTTAAACCAGATTTGCATCGCGATACGTACAGTTTCTTTTTGGAATATCACAAAAAATCGCAAATGTTTTTATGACTGGAGAGAAAGAGCAAAACATTACGGCAAAATTGCATTTTCGCTCGTCAATTTTCGCGTTTCAAAGCGATTTGTATAAACCAATATACTTATACATCGTGTATATATCTTTACACACCTATATATATATACGCTATTGTACTACGTTCATGCTCTACTCTATAAGCCGATATCCAACGCAGCGGATATCTCAAAGGCAAATAATATCAGGACAAATACGTCGCATTGGAACCCGTCACGTTTCTCGCGCTGATTTTACGTTGAATCTTAAATTCTTCTTCACCCCCACGAACTTGAATCATTGCCTTGGTACTGGATCTGAACTTGGTACTCGTGAAAAAAGTTAACTCTCGTATTTACAAGTTATTCAAAACTAGTATAAAATACGCGAAGATTACGATTACTCATCTCAATTATGGTTTTCAAACTGTACTGTTCATGCACCATGAGTACAATTGTAAATTATGTTTGAATGTTGAAAATCTTTTGAAATGAGCACACTAGAGCTACTAAAACTAAATGTTCAATTAATAAACAGATTTCAAGATTTGCACCATAAAAAGTAACCTATACTGATTTCAAGTACTTGAACCTATACAGTACTGTACTTTCGAGCTTTGTATCAAAAAATTAGCGCGAGCCACTTCTTAATGTACCTAATGATGCGTAAGATTGCTCGAAAAAATGGGGGATAATTTAAGACTTTATCCACATCTCGTATGCATAAGGCGTGTTTGTCTTTTACGAGAGAGATGAAGCACAGTCCCACCTAAATCCTTGGGATTCAAATTTTCCAATAGTTTGGCGTCGATGCATCTGGCATCCGATGCCGCAAGATATACACAAGTACCTATCGAAGTCGAGCCCAAGTTTACTGCGAGCTCAGTTTGCTCTGTCGTTGCTGGAGTATCTACTCCTAAATTTCGTTAACACGTAATCGTCTATGTATACGTCGCTCATGGGTACAATATCTCATTCAAATCAGTGAAAAATACCGCCAAGCCAAATTAGTCGAGTACAGAATACGAAATTTTTTTTCCACCCCGTGTCGCGTCGAAGCCAATGTCTAAGTGACCCAGCAAGTACATAATATTTATGTAAAAACATGCAAAAGTAAGACAATCAACCGATTGTTTTCGTTCGCTAAGATTTCCGAGCTGTTGGTCCCAAAAAAATTTGTCTTAAATATCTCTTAATATTCGCGGAACCAAAAGAGATGAATAATAATTGTTAAGAAAATACTGCTGTATGGTAGCTCTATTCCTTCTAGTCTACAGTACTTAGATGAAAAGAGGATTTGAATGGGCTTTCTCAACTGGTGTCGTATTATTACTTGCCTGCCGAAGCATACTTATTGCTCGTGTGTTTGATGTTGCGAGTCCTTTTCACTCCCTCCCTTTCTCTGATTCGAGGGTAAAAGCCATCTACGCGCACCTCTTCTCTGGCTTGTAGAAATGTGTACCCCAGATATTCGAGAGAGCGCTAGTACTTTTGTTTCAAAGACAGTCACATTCGCTATGGGCCCTTTGTACTTACCCTGCAAACGTGCAGTAAGGGGAAAAACCAATTTGTATGAGTCTACTACAATAGCGTGTCTCAGGTTCGAGAGGTACCTCAACATATCACGATCTAAACTTCAGTCAACTTAAGGTGGCTCCAGTGGCCTCAATGTAAAAATTATAAATAACCCAACCGAGGTTAATAAAATTGAATAATATTCTTTGATTTCCCATCTTTCTATTCGTATAAAAAAAAAGTTAAGGTTGACGATGAAAATTGTAAGAAATCATGCTTACAAAATCGTAGTTTTAAGACGGGTTGGATAGGAAATGCAAGCTTACGTGATATACAACCTACTGCTGCACTTATATAAATAACCCGTAAGGTGTAAAAAATATACTATCTTGTATATATTATTACGCAGTTTTTGATGACATGAGAAAAGTGTCTTGTCATCGAACAAAATCTTTAAATAATCGGAGACTAAGTATACAGTTGCGAGTGCAAGTCAGCTCTCGGCTGTCTGCATTATGCAGAGTACACACATATATATAGGTATAACTACTCTTGAACTTAGGAGCGTACCGTAACAGTTCATCAATTAGGGCACCGTAAAACTTTTTTGTTTTTTTATATT